CCTTCAGGCTTGAGAGGAAGATGTTGAGAATATTGAATACTTGAGAATTGTCCAAATTTCCTTGTCTCACATTGAAAACGATAGACCTTTGAAACCAATATATAACCACATGTGCTACTCCCTTTATCACCAATTGGTTTTAAGGTGGAAACACATGTGGACCTATATTTGGGCCTTCGAGATTACTAAAATGGATCAATTACTCAATATCCGTATAAAACTGCCCTAGAACATAAAACCTAAGCTACACGCCTACAACCCCTTTTAGATTCACATTACCAATACTTAGAATCCGAAACAAAGACACAAAATTTTTTGTTATGATGTCACTTTTGCAATTAATTTCTTCCCCTAGATTCTTTAGAACGTCGGCGGTTGTTGTTACCAACGAGTAACGTCGTTCCACCGGAAAATCGTTGTACAATTCCATCAGTTCACTTTTTAAAAATCAACATAATAAAAAAAAAATTGTCATCAGTTGATGTGTATCATGTACTGTACAATCATTTTCTTTTTTTTTTTTAATGATGTACTGTACCATCAAATTAATGTATTTACAATAGCAAGTTGATCAGTGATCACAATTATTTTTCGAATTCCCTTATTATCAATTCTGCAATAGGCTAAGAACAACAATTCTTTGGTTGAATCATGGTCTACACCATCTCTTTTTGTTCATCACAGTTGGGTAAATCCCATTAATTTTAATAATATTGTTTTTCTTTTTTTTAAAAAAAAAATCTGCAATATGTTAAAAATGTATTCCCTTTATCTCAAAGAAAACTAGTGTATTTTGTTCAACTAAAACGTATTATAATAAAGTGGAATATTTTAGGACGGAGTGAACTAATAGCACTTATTTTCATCTTTTCTTGAAGAAAAAATTAATAGAATGATTTCATTATAATGCTAGACTATGTAATTAAGCTAAACATATTGCTCTTTATTTTGGAAACATATCTGCTGTTTGGTCGATTGTTCTTGCAGGTATACGCTGGACAGTAGGGGATGGGAAATCAATCCTATTTTGGTCTGACAAGTGGCTAAATCTTCCCAGCCCCAGTCCATTCATACTCCCTGGAGCAACTCTCTCAATCTGATTTACAAAAGGATATCATCCACTATACAGATAGCCAAGGCAATTGGAATTGGCTGGAACTTCAACAGGCCTTGCCTCAGGACATTCTGGACACCATCAGAGCTATCCCCCCCCCCTAACGTGGCCCTGGGGAAGGACAAACCAGCCTGGAAATGGTCGCAGAATGGGAAATTCAACTCCACTTCATCTCATATTCTTCTTATTGCTGGCAACGGATGGCAACCAGAGCACCCCAAATGGAACCTTATTTGGAAGTGGCCTGGTCCCGAGAGAATAAAAACATTCTTATGGCTGCTCTATAATGAAGCCTTATTGACAAATTCAGAGAGGCTCCGTCGCCACCTAACAGAGGAAGGCGGCTGCCTCTACTGTGGAGAGTTGGAAACTTTTTTCCATGTTTTCAGAGATTGTGTTAGAGCAAAGGAGATGTGGAGAAATGCTTGTCCAACCCTTGCCAGCAACTTTTGGAATGAAAACTGTTGGTCAGAATGGATATTAACTAACTTAAAAATCCTCTACCTTGCAGGAAACTCATGAATGGAAGCTCTGGTTTGGAACAGTTTGCTGGAAACTATGGAGAGCCAGGAACGACGAGGCTTTTGGATCATCAATCACCTCGCTGGCTGCAATCAAAGGTTCCACCCGGTCCCTGCTCAGAGAAATAGCTAGATCACATTCGATTTTTGCCCTAAATGCAAGCAGAAAGGAGCCCCCAGAAACAAGGCACCCGTGGCATCCCCCATCATGGGAATGGATTAAAATAAACACTGACGCAGCCCAGGTTAAAACGACAAAAAAAGCTGCGGCAGGGGGTCTCGTAAGAAATCACGAGGCTGGTTGGATCACTGGTTTTGCTATCAACCTGGGAATCTGTGAATCATTAGAAGCAGAATATTGGGGAGCATATTTTGGCCTCCACGTCGCCTGGAATCTCGGCTTCAGGAAAGTAATTCTAGAAATGGATTCGGTAGAGGCAATTAACTCTTTTAGATATAGACACAAGTTTGTACCGTCAAGTAATGTACTTAGGCACATTAGTATGCTACTTGACAGAAATTGGGTACTTAGTGAATTTTAGCCTCATTCGAAGGACTTCAAATGAGGCGGTCGATTCGCTAACCAAATTTGGTTTTAGTTGCCCGATGGGGTTACAGGTTTTGTCAATATCCCCGTAAAAAACGGCCGAATATCTGGAAGTAGATAGGATCCAATCATCATCCCATCCTTAAGGGATGTTTTGTATTAAGCTTATGCTTCCTTTGTATATATATAAAACTAGTGATGTCTGGTCGCGCCCAATATATATGTAGATCTTAGAAATGTTTGAATCTGGAAAAAAAAATATTTTGTATTTGGCCTGATATATTTTGAAAATATTTGAAGAATTTTAAAAATATTTTATAAGTGTGATGTTTGTATTTGGCAAAAAAATAAATTATATTTGGCCCAGTACGTTTTAGAAATGTTTGAAGATTTTAGAAATATTTTATAAGTGTTACTTCTTAAATATAAATAAACTTGATCAAATATATGTCTTGAAGTAAATGCTAGACAAAATATAAAAGCATCCTAATAAGTTTAAATATTAGTAAGATAATTTATTGATTTTCTCCATTGGTTGTGCCAAATCAATACTTTGTTTTGGAAATTTATAATAACTTTGTAGTTAGTTTCCTCCAAAGGGTATACGCTTAATTGTTGGAACTATTTCTTCCAAAAGTTTATAGGTAGTAAAATATCAAGAATATGATTTTGAAATTGGTTAATTGTTGAAACTAGTTAATCACAAATATGAGAATGAAAATAATGTAAATTTGCATAGGTTTCAAGATATAGCAAAAAAGAATTCACCTCACCATGGCAAAGAAAAAACAAAAAAGTAAAAGATAGCCCATTAAAATTTGAAAATTTTTAATTTTTTTTTCTGTAGGTAAAAATGATCTATAAAAACACAAATAAACGTAGAAACATCATTCCTTCCCTCTTCACCTCAAATTCATAAAAGGATTCCCCATAAATTAGTTAAAAGAAGCGACTTGAACTATTTATATGATGAGGAACTAAAAAAAGTCCAAAAACTAAATCCAAAAAAGTATATCCTTGAAACCCCGAACACAAAGAAAGAAACGTGCTTCATTTGTAAATAAAATAATAATAATAATAATAATAATAATAATAATAATAATAATAATAATTGGTCAACTGGGAGTATGAAACAAAATCAAAAGTAATTAAACAAAGAAAAAACACACTTCATAATTGGCCATATACAAAAAAAAAAAACCTGAGACTCCATAATTAAAAAAAACCACTCTAATTGAATGAAACATAAAAAACAAATTTAAAAAACCACACTTTGTAACAAAAACCCAATCAATCAATTCAATCCAAACGTAACTAAAATCGTACAAAAATTCTAGGCTAACTAACTAAATAAGAAATCACATCATAAGAAATCACATCATACTACCTGACAACGGCTATGGTAGCTGTAACGGATGAACGCATAAAAATAATAGTAATAACACTATTCTTGAACGGGAGAAACAAAAAATAATAAAAGCCAAACCAATGATCTGTGAAAATAAAATCATTTAAATTTTAATACCTGTAATGGCACCACCACAACGGCCGAAGCAAGATCAATGAGAATTTTTTTTTTCCTTTGTGTTTATATAGGGAGGTAAAGATAATATTTTTTGAAGTTGAAATTTTATCCGATTAAGATGTAGTTGATCATCACTAATGAAAAGATTGAACATGCTAATAGGAAAGAAGTATATTTCACCACATATTCTCAATTGATGATTGATGAGGAATTTTTTTTTTTTTAATTGTGGAGAAGGGATTGATTAAGGAGTCGATTGTCGTGGAGATGTGGATGAGAATTTGGGTTTTTTATAAACCTGTGGTGTTTTTTTTTGTTTGTTTTGACGAAAATAGAAGGTGAAAGTGAATTTAGACTGCATTTGCCTTTTAAATTTAGGAGATATAGTAATAAAAATTTATTTTAAAAATATGATGTGGAAATGCCACATGGCAAATGATGGTGCTTTCTCTTAAGTGTGGTTTTTGTTTCTAGTATCAATGTTCCAGTGGATAAGTCAAGGGAGAGGAAATTAATTAAGATGAGAGCTTTTCGGATGAAAGAACCCGAAAATGAAAAATGAATGTTCATATATATTAATTGCTTTGCGGAACCCCAAAACAACCAAAGAATTAATGAATGGAAAGGAGTTTAGGGATCAGAGTAAAGAATACTAACCATTGTTGTTTGAGAAATGGACCATCATTCTTTCACAGAAAGCTAGGAGACACTGCATAATTTCATTCTAAGAAACAACTGATAATAATCAAGTCTGAAATTTGATAGTATAAATTGACATGAAAAACCCATCTCTGATCTAAATTACTAAGGTAAAGAAAAGTGGGATTTTGATCAGTTTTGCTCATAAGGTCAAATGGAGAAGCTCAACAATTTTCAAAATCTGCATGCACTTAATAAGTATGGTACAGATTTAACAAAATTAGCCCAAGAGGTACAAAAATCATATCAATCCAATTAGTCATTTTTAGTGTACTTCTTTCATCAAGGCTAGTTATTATTGCTTTTTTATTTTTTTTGGATGGCCATGGAACCATTTTTACTCTGTTGTTTAGGATAAATTGGAACCTGTGATTGGAAGAGGAAAAGAAATAGAGCAAGTTACACAGATTCTCTGCAAGCGAAAGAAGAACAATGCCTGTTTAGTTGGCGATCCGGGCGTCGGGAAAACCGTCATTGCTGAAGGATTGGCGCTTAAGATCATCAAATCCTCTGTCCCAGAAAAACTCCAGAACTAACGGGTATGTAAAATTCGTGTAATAATGTAATAATCTTTTTCGTTTCGAATTGACTCGAATGTTATCTCAGATTTTCGCCATCGACATGGGCCGCCTGATTGCTGGAGCAGCAAATCGTGGAGAATTTGAGGAAAGACTTGTAATGATTGTCGATGAAGTGAAAGAGAGCAATGGTGAAATCATTCTATTCATTGATGAAGTCCACACATTAGTCGGTGCTGGCGCTGGAAACCAACCCCTGGATGCTGCTAACATTTTGAAACCTCCTCTTGCTAGAGGGGAACTAAAGGTTTGCGATTTGTGAATCATTCATATATTTGACAGTTTTTTCTCTGCATAAATTTACTGATTCTGATTGCTGTTGATATTCATTTTTTGTTTAAAACAGTGCATTGGAGCTACAACGCTGGAAGAATACAGGAAGTACATTGAGAAAGATCCCGCCTTGAAACGGCGATTTCAAGTTGTACAAGTGCCTGAGCCTTCCATTGACGAGACAATTGAGATTCTGAAAGGGATCAAGAGGAAATTCGAGGTTTATCATAACGTCGTATACCCGGACGAGGCTCTGATCGCAGCAGCAAAATTGTCGAAACAATTCATCAGGTGAGTTGTATTTGATGAGTTATATTTTCAGTTTATGATGAGGATTTATATCAATGATTGTTTTAACCCTTTCTACCTTTTGTTTTGTCTACGATTTTAGTGATGCTTTCCTGCCTGATAAGGCAGTTGATATCATGGATGAAGCAGGAGCAAGAGTTGTGTTATATGGTAACAACAAGACTAATGGAGAAGCTTCTAATCAGCAAAATTATGGTGGCAATGGAAATGGTCAGCTTGTTAGTGTTGAAGTTATCAAACAAGTCATTTCTTCCAGGACTGGAATTCCAGTTGAAAATCTGTCAAGCGACGAATCCATTCGCCTTCTTAACATGGAAAACATCTTTGCTGAGCAAATAATCGGACAAGATGATGCGATCCAAGCAGTTTCTCGCGCGATTCGCAGATCAAGGGTCGGCCTAAGTGACCCTGATCGTCCCATTGCGACATTCTTCTTCACAGGTCCAACTGGTGTTGGAAAAACCCAAGTGGCAAAGTTAGTCGCCAAGGAATATTTCGGATCCAAAGAATCAATGGTGAGGTTGGACATGAGCGAATACATGGAAAAACATTCAGTTGCTCGGCTGTTTGGATCGCCTCCAGGCTACCTCGGCCATGATGATGGTGGGCAATTAACCGAATCCGTTCGCAGGAAGCCACATAGCTTGGTTCTGTTCGACGAAGTAGACAAGGCTCATGTTCAGGTTTTCGATGCATTGCTTCAGATTCTTGATGATGGGAGATTGACAGATGGTAAGGGGAGAGTTGTTGATTTCAAGAACACCATAATCATAATGACATCGAATATCGGTTTCAACTCCACCTATAATCATGAAACACAAGGAAATGTGAGAGAAGCATTGAAGAGGAAATTCAGGCCTGAGTTTCTTAACAGGCTTGATGAGATCATTGTGTTCCAAGGGCTAGGGAAGACTGAACTGATGAAGATTGTGGATGTATTGTTGAAGGAAGTTAGTGAAAGGATTGCGAAATCGAAGAACATTAGCCTTCAATTCAGTATGACATTCAAGGAGAAATTGATTTCAGAGAGTGGATGCTATGATGCCAATAATTATGGAGCTAGGCCATTGAGAAGAGCCATAACAAGAAATCTTGAAGACCAATTGGCAGACAAAGTTTTGAATGGTAGTGTCAAAGAAGGAGATTCTATACTAGTTCAAGCTATTTCAAATGGTGATGTTGTTTTCTCTTAGCAAAAGTAGACTACTTTGTGAAGTAGTAATTGGGGGTGTGTGAAACTACCAAAAAAAATACCTGTTTCTTTGCTTCTTTTGATTTTTTTTATAAATAAATTTTATTCCAGTATTTTCTTTTTCCATTCTTAACATAATTTTTTTTATATTTTCTTTAATACGAAAAATACCTGATTGAAAAAACTCAAACATCTTGTGTTTAGAGTTTGCACATGTTTTTCATTTACCTTTCATTTTTACAATGGTAAATTCTCCTCTTGTTTATCAAATACTACCTCCGTCCCCAAAAAAAATAGTCCACTTTGAGTTTTGGAATTTGTACTAAAAACAGTGTAAATCTGAAAAGTCAATGTGGACTATTTGGGACGGAGATAGTAATAAACTATTATATATAGTACAAGTGAGTTCGAAACTATTATATTAAGTTCTTATACATGTTTGTGGTAACTAAATTCGAATACTTTTGGACTCTGGTGTATATGTGAGTGTGAACTTCATCTTTCTTCCCATAAAATTAATTAAATTGATTCATGTAATGCAAATTACACAATCACAATAGCAGCCAGAAATATTGCCAATTTTCTTGTGTAGATGCAAATATACATCTACTCTCTCTGCTTTCCAGAAGAAAAGTCATTGGTAACCTTCAAAGTTAAAAGTTATGGATTAAATTTGCCAATCTTGAAAAGTTTTGGGGCTAAATTATAAATGGTATTTTTGAGTGACGGTGAGAAAACTTATAAAGAAAACAATTATGATTGCATTATGCGCTTAAATTAATTTCTACTGGCCGAATTTCGCCTTCATCGTCGTTCAGCTCCGGTCGTCTTAAGTGCCGAACCACCAGTAAGCTTCCCGGCGTTTTCGTCACTCCAGCCCAAATATTCTCCTTGTTTTCTAATCAGGTACTATCTCGCCTTAGGTTTTTTTTTTTTCCCCCTTCTCGTGCGATTAATGCACGTATTTCCCCTTTGGAATTATAATTTTAAATTTCGAAGACATTTGTGATGCACTGATTTGATATCTTCTTGGCTCGTTGCATTCACAAAGATTGAAATTGAGGTGTAAATGATTCCTTTTTTTTTTTTTTAGTTATTTAGGGCGCAACTATGGGCATTTTAGTTTATGGAAAGGCGTTTAGTTTAATGTTGTTGCTATTAAGTTGAATTCCTTCTTTTTATCTGAGGAATTGGCTTCTTCCTTGCATCGATTTTTATTGGATTTTAATCTGTTCATATGATTTTCTTCAACTAGACTGAATTTGGAAATGGGGGAGGGGGTGGTGTTCTGGGATATTGAGTTCCACTAACTTAGTTAGCGATTAGGTTTCTAGTTTAGGGTAATTGATAGAATACTCTTTCAACTTTTTGTGTATGTATGAATACTGCAAACAGGAAAATAAAGTTTTGGGTCTTCGACTGAACGTTAGGATGTCGGCCAGATTGTTAAAGAAAGTTTTGCAAGAACAAGAAGCCACTGAACAGGAACAGCAGCGGCTGGGTCATAGTGAGGATGAGTCTGATTCCCCTGCCTCGTCCGCCCCAGCTAGAAATCCTTTTGATCTTCTTGGAGATGACGATGAGAATGATGATCACCAAAATTTAAGCGAGGTATGGCTTTCTTACAGTTTTTTCATGCTTGTATTCTGCACAAAAGAATTTGTATGATGTAGGTATGGTTGTTTGTTTTTCTGTACATTTTCTATATGATTATTGGTATAGAGGTCTTTGTTTCTATGCTTTTCCTTTCGCTTTGTGTTGGTTGATGTGGTGCAATCTTAAGTGATTTGAGATTATGTAGTTTTAGTGCCATAAATACTGTAGTAAGATAGGACCTAGATGAGAACCTTTCTTTTGGACTTTGCAGGTTTTGCTTTTGCTATCTGACCTCCGTCTGTATCAGTTTTGTGCATGATTCTGATGTTTTCTGTAGTTTGTCTTGGTTATTAGTCACTAAATTTCTCTTAAATAAGTGGTCAGATATATTGGGATGAAGTTTCTTTCTTAGTCTAGTATTATGCTGCCCCAAACATGACAGGCTTTGTTGTGTGGATTTTCCCGGAAATTATTCCTCTTGTTGGTGCTTGATTCAAGAATAGGCAAACTTGGGGCAGGATTCTTCTTACTCGCCTGATGATAATTCAGGCTTGACCATCACCTTAAAGGCAATAATTGAGGGGTGCCCTGAAAATTTTACTCTATGAGTGCTGAGTTAGTTCTAGACGAAGTGAAACCAAATGAGGTATCTAAGAGGAGAATTTACTCCATGCTTCTCACTTCTTTTGATGGTTCAATATTCTGGCAAACACCCACGTTCGTGCTGCGTCAATTTGGTTACCCTTTAACCTACGGTCTGTGTTTAAACACCCATGATCGTGCTGTGTCACTGGCCTTCCAAGTTCAAAATGGTTTTGAGCTAATAACTCACGATAAGTGCGATTATATTCTTGTGTTTCATGTTTACATGTACACATCTTCCTAGTATATAAAATCACCTATTGAGTTTACTGTGTGATCTCTGTACCAGCCTTGAATAGTCCATAGATTTCTGGATACTAGGTTTGAAACATTGGGAAGAAATGTTCATGCAACTCAAGCTTTGCCTTGCTGTTAGATTCTTTCTCTTGAACTTCCCTCTTTCAGCCTGATGTTAAGTTATATTACAATTCTATGGCCTCCAGCATAAGAATTTGTTAACGTGATTAATATTGATCGCCAAAGTAGTGATGTTGATCTGTGTTGCCTTTTTGATCATTTTTTGACATGAGTTACAAAATCATACTGTGTTTTTTTATCTGTGCCATAAAGTTTCACAACTGTAGTACTACAACTTTAGATTCATATTCCATTGCCTTCTTTTTATTTTTAAAAATTAAATATGTAACAAAACACTGTAGTATTTTTATTTGTTTTTTTCTTCTCCTTTTAATCAGAGATCATTTGATTTTGTTAACAAATTCTAGAACTGCAACAAAACTATACTCTCATCGCTTAGTGTTTTCTCTTTTTACAGACTATGAAATAATAGAATAAGATAATTTATGGTAAGAAATATTAGTCAATATAAATTTGTTTAAAAAACTTTGGCAACTTTTTGCATTGTACAACCAGAGAGCTTCTAGTGTGTTTATCTGTTGTTCTTTGTGGTGGTTTACTTGATAAAGATCGTCGTGGAATATCTGTAATGCAAGTCTTTTCCTCATTTTGTATCACTTTGGTATTTACTCTCAATGCAGGAAGATGACTTGGGAAATGCTGAAGAACCTGGATGTAAAAATGTAGATGGAATTGTACGTCCAAGTGAAAAAGCTTCTGTTAAACCAGTTTCATCATCAAACAGCAAATCGAAGAAGAAGAAAAAGAAGAAAACCAAGGAAAAATTACCAACTAATCCTGAAGATCTTGCAGAATCAGATGAGATGACATTGGAGAATTTATCAATTGAAGAAGTTTCTTCCAAACATGAGCATGCTGCTTCATCTTCAAAATTAGCCAAGCTTTCGAATTCAAACAAGGGTAGTTTGGGGAAAAAGTTAAAATCCTCCATTCTACAAGTGGATCCCAAATTTCTTATTGCAGAGAATGAGTTGCGAAGGATCTTTGGTTCTAAGGTTGTGAAATCATTTGAAAGAGGTCAACACAGTGGAAATTCTAGGCATTCCATTGCTGGTAGAAGAGCAGGAAGCCACAGTCATAGGAAGACTATTCTTGTTTCAGCATCTGAACACTGGCCTCGTTGGGATGGATCATTTTCTATGGAACTTTTGGAAAGTAGTAAAGGGGTCAATTATTTCAGGTAAATGTTACTATCATCTCATCATGAGGCGGTGTTACTCTAATGTTGAATTCTTATAAAAATGTGAAGAAAATGAATACATTTTCATTGTAATGTCCATATTTAAAGTTGAAAGAAAACTGTAAATTAGCTGCAATGATCCGAAGAGTTTGCAATGCTTGATGGCTTTATGCTTACTTGTAGATGGTAGGCATGATTAGGTTGTGGCTCTTTTTAAATTTTATTTTGTGTTGTTTCTAGGCATTTGATGTTTCTTGCTATCAACATCTTAAATTTTAGGTCACTGCAGAGAAAGCGAACTGCCAAAATTTTGGAAAGTTTTTGCAAATTTTATAGGATATATTATCTCAGGACTGTGTCCAAGCTGTTTCTGTAAGAGGCTTTAGAAGTGCCATAGAAGACAAGATATGATGGCTCGTTATTTTTTCATGTTCTGGTCAATTCCGATCTGTTCTATAAAAATATCTCTATGTGAACTGCTTTAACTTATTGTGATCCCTAGAGATAGTTGAATGTTTTCTCTTCCTTTATTTCAGTGGTAAATCCTGCATGTTTGAGTATTTGATAGTTTGTTTCCTGCATATTTTTGTTTCGTTGATAAAATTTAGAATACAATGCTGGGATTGAATATGGGGCTCTGATTTGGTTTGGATGTCTTAATCAACCAATATAGGCAGGGTGCAAATTCATCCCAAAACTATTCTTTGTAGACCATTCTCTTTAGTGATGTCTTTATATATGTCAAACTTTGTAATCATATTCAGGATCAGCTAACCCTGACCTATTTTTGCTCTTTAGGTATGTACATTCACCAGCATATAGCCAATCTCAGAGAGCATTTGAAGCTGCCAAGGCAATTCATGATTTGAATGGTGTCACGAGCATTTTGTTACACCATCCTTATCATATAGATTCGCTTATCACTATAGCAGAATACTTCAAATTTTCTGGAGAACATCAAATGGCCGCAGATGCAATTGCAAAGTGCCTGTATGCCTTAGAATGTGCTTGGCATCCAATGTTCTCCCCTTTGCAGGGGAATTGTCAATTGAAACATAGCCATGACACCAACAAGCCACTCTTCACTACTCTGTTTACACATATGAAGAACATGGATAGGCGTGGTTGTCATCGCTCTGCGCTTGAGATTTGCAAATTACTCCTCTCTCTAGATTCAGATGATCCAGTGGGGGCCCTTTTCTGCATCGACTACTATGCTCTTAGAGCAGAGGAGCATTTATGGCTAGAACAATTTTCTGAAGAATATGAAAGTGAAAACTCCCTATGGTTATTTCCAAATTTTTCATATTCCCTAGCCATTTGTAGGTATTACCTTGAACAGAAGGAACACACTGAAAATACAGAAAAAAGATCTGAGAAAGCTTCGTCCGAAGATCTTATGAAACAGGCCTTGATGCTTCATCCTTCAGTATTGAAAAAGTTAGTGGCTAAGGTTCCTTTAAAAGATCAGGCGTGGACACGTATACTTGAGAATAGTTATTTTAGATCCGAGCAATCAGGAAGCCCATCATTGGATCACTTGATCAATTTGTACGTTGAAAGGAGTTATCTTATATGGAGGCTACCTGAGCTGCAAAAGCTTCTGCGTGACTCTGCTCATGCAGTAATTGCAAATCTGAAAGACAACAAAAATGATGCAAAGGATTGGACCTGTGTCAGAAAAGAGGCGTTCTCTTCTGGGAAAAACGAGTGAGTACAATACTGCTTTCTGACTTGTTTACCTTTTTATGTTATTTGTGTTTAGATATTGTATTTCATCATACTACATTCATGTGAGTGCAGTTTTCGTTCCAGGTAGTTATTCCATGTGTTAATAACATCATGTAGCGTTTTTTAAGTCTTTCTCTTTTGGATTTGACAGGTACAGTCATCTTATGCTGTCAGATTTCTCTGATTCCGTGCCGACTTTACCACCTGAAGTGTTGCAGAATTTTATGGTTGATCCAGGGATGAGAGGTGGCCAGGAAAATGAAGGTCAAGTTATGGCACAACCTGCTCCTGTGCGTGTTCCCCGGGATTTGACGAACCGAAATCCTATTGTTGTACTACTTGAGTCTCTGTTACCCTGGGCAGATTATGGAGAAGGAGGTGCTGAACATGCCCAGAATGACAACAATGACCAGGCACATTGAGTTTGATATTTGAGTTGTAGGTTCAGTTTTACATCTTCTCATGACCAGGTTTATATCAGTTTTGTATACGAATAATTTTCCATTGCTGGCTATTTTACACAGCCTCAAGATATAACGTCCTCTATTTGGACTGCCGCACGTGTATTGTTGTGCAGTATCCTGCAATTTCTTCGACGTTTAATTCTGCACTTCCTTTCTGCTCCTTAACTTGTAGCACTTTTGGGAGGCCATTTTTGTTTTAAGGAAAAGAGTCAAAGACACACATTCCAGTTCTATGCATACAGAGGTAGCAATTCCAATCTTCATTTAGTTCACAGCTCAAGTTGTGACACGCTATGCATAATATCTGGATTAATTGAAGTTGTCTGGGGATGCTAATAAGCTTGTTTCCTTTTCAGATGTAGGATTATAATCTAAGCAAGATAAATACTAAAAGTTAGTACTAAGAACAGGTGAGTTGAATGAAAGCATAGTACTTTAAGTAGCAGTAATCTACTAATGATTCGATTCTACAAAGACAGTTCTAACTCCAAAGTTACATCATTCTACCTAAGAACAAACTTCTTGCAAACCTAAACTAATAATCCCAGATTATGAATTGCACCACTTGATTAAGGACAATTGGATCCTTTCATGAAGCTGGTTTTCATTCTCCACCACCACCTCCAAGTTGATCAGCCATGGCTTCAATCTCAACTTCATTCTCCTCCAATCCAAGCTACAAAAACAACAGGGAAACAACCCATGAAGCAAAGCATTATAAGCGACAACGAAGATCATCAAAGTTTTGAAGCAGAGCAACTTTAAGGGTTGTTAAATGAGATTTAACTAATTAGTAGTGAGAACATAAGAAAAAAAGAGTTTACCTCAATTGGAGTTTTAGCATGAATGAAGCGCTGTCCTTCAAGGTAAAACTGGGTAGCTTGATAACTAAGACGAAACTTCCGGCAGTAACTTTGCAACAGTTTCTTCATGGGAGTGTCACGGTTAATCTTGAAGAAAGTTTCTTTCCCATCCTTTTTACACAACAAACAAACAGAAGATCCATGAATTAGATCAGAACAGGGGACTTGTAACAAGCTTTGGAACCACCAAAACACACACACACACACACACACACACACAGAGGCCAGTTTTCTTTTATCATGAACCTTTATTCTAGGTTTCTACCATTTCTTAGCTACCTTGAAACCAAATGTCAAACTCAACCGGAAATTGTTGAACCTCAGAACACAGATTTTAGCTTAGACTTAAAATAACATGGATTTCTGCTAACTAATAAAGTAAAACTTCTGCATTTTTACATTCAGGTCAAGATAATTTAGGCCAGCCATGGGTATCTATCAAGAACAGGAAACTAATTGAAGGCGATAGATTCCCTTCTTAGGACACACAAAGGAAAACAGAGCCCTTTATTGTTGTTCTTCATGATGGGCAAAATCAAAATAAGGGACAGAAAAAAAAAAAAAACACCAACATGCAACAAGAAAATCCAACATCCCATCAAAGAAAAGGGGAAAACGTATGCTAAAAGATGCAATAATCCCTTCATACATAACAAATATTTGCTAAAAAAGATCAATCTGCTACAGAGTCCTAAACACCGAGAAGGTTGAAAATGTGGTCATATTACCTGACTTTTAACCTTAATCTTCATAAAGGCAGGAAATTTGACTTCCTCTATCCCTTCTCCATTTTCATCTCCAGGTGCAGCCATTTTCACTCAGAAAAAGGGAAAAAAAGGAAACTTCAACAGAAACTATGGCCAAAAAAAAAAAAATCCCTTCTTCACAAGTCACAAACTCTATCAATAAATGGTCTCAACCAATTCTAATACTACTATTCATCTGGGTTTTAAATGCATTTTTCACAGAATTAAAGTTTGAATGATGTACAACGGACAAAACTTTTTGACCAAATGAAATTTGGTTTATTAGCCAGCAGATGAATGATGAGACTGAGTTTGGTAATTCAAATCAACTTCATGATGTCATGGCTCTGAGTTCTGCAGGCAACAGAGCCTGTGATTCACTGTCAAAATCTTTTTTCGATGAAGATATAAATGGAAAAAAACGTCAAAAGTGAAGTATTTTTCACGTCAAAAGTGAAGCCTTTTTATCAGTCCCACCGTAAGTAGTCACATGTGAAAGCCTAATGGAAAAAAATGGAGGTATTGCTTGAGATTTGATTTTTTTTTTTTTATTATTTTTCATGTAATGGATCTAGTACTGTATTTGATTTATGAATCTATAATTGATTCAGGTACAAATTTATAAATGATTATAATCTCCCCTCTAAAATTAGAGTATTGTTGCATGAACTTTAAGGCTTTGTTTGTTTGCCTTTTTTATGGTTTTTTTCAATTTATTTTATTAATAACTATTTCATCCCAACATGTCTTTTTACATTTCCAATACACATTTTTACATTCCCAATGTAAAAAACACCTAAAAACATACACTAAAAAAACGAACCAAACATACCCTAAAAGTCTTATCTTGTTATCGTAAAAACTATATGGTTAGAAAATGCAAAAAAGCACGTCATATTAACCATAATCTATTAGTGAAGGATGCCTCATTTTTTCGTTTTGTAAATTAAAAAAGATATCATTAATAGAGAAAATTACCTCTCACAGTCTCGTGTTATAACTTTTTTTTTGAAACCACCTTACGAGCGTCTGACTATTACAGTCCCGTGTGATAACTTACAAACCAAGTTAACAAGCTTGTTTTGCAACATTTTTTTTGCATAATTTTTGCATCAACACTTTTAACATTTTTAATACACTATTTTACATTTTTAAGAGGGATAAAAACACATATACACTCATAAAATCTTCCATACATTAAGATAAATCATTTTTAGCTCTCTAGGAGATATCGAAACACTGAACCATCATTTATTCATTCAAAAAATACTGAACCAAAACATTGAATAGAGTTTACACAAAAAGAACAAGTCCATTACTTCAATCAATCAAAAGACTTCTGTCAACACACCCTATTTAACCAAGCAGAGAGAGGGTTTTGTTCCTTTTGATGTGAAAGGGGCAAGTAAGTACAAAGAAATGATGAGAATGGAAAAAAAGAACCCAAAGGACTTTTTTTTTATTTATTTTTCATTTGAATTTGGAATATGGTGTCCTTTTGAATGGCGGGAATATCAATTCATATCAAAATATACTATTCCAGAATTTGGAGATGATAAAAAGGTGCAGGATTATAACCAAAAGAAACTGCAAGTCATTAACCTTGGAAAGAAATTTAAAGAGATGTTATACATCCATAGATTCATACTCAACAATCTCCACAAACTTAGAATCCTTACACTTCATAAACATAATCAACAATCTCCACAAATGGAAAAGTTGAAATTGTTGAACAAAAGGGAACTTTTTTTAAAAAAAAGGAGATATTATTCATCCATAGATTCATACTCCCTTGTGCTTCTCTAGTTGATTGCTTTTTAAACAGTTGAATGGCCTCCCCCACCCGCATAAACCATTGCATCGATCTGATCACCATCAGCCAAGTGAAGCTACAAAATTTGGGAGACAAAAACCACAAAATGTAAGAAAATCCAACATTCAATTCATAGTTCTATACAAGTAAGAGATTTCCTTCCTTCATTACCTCTGCTGGAGTGCTTCGGACACGGACGCGATTGCCCTCGTAAAGAAAGATCATTGACAGATACTCCAAGTTCTTGTCCTGACAATAACGTCTCAAGAACTTCTGCATAGCTAAGTTTCGGGGGATATAGTAATCACATGAACTACCTTCCTGAAATGCAGTTGGGAAAGAAACAATTTTTCCATCAAGAAGATTATAATTACAATCATTTCAAATTGCTGTCATAAAAATTAATAGGGAAAAAACATCAATCCAAAACAAGAGGAAGTAACAGCCTTTTTTAACAGTTCTCCAAGGTCAACACACAAGGCCTCATTATGTCTTAAGGGACTAAAGAGGTCAGCAGAAAACAGAACACCAGAGATTCCAAACCTTGGGTGTTTATTTTGCAAATGTAACATCAAGAGGAACAACAACCTCGGAAAGTTCAATGATCCAACAAATCTTACTGTTATACTACTTAAAAACATTCTGAATTTCACAGAATTCGTTTAACTCAAGGCTTTGTTTAACTTATATATATAGCTCTCTTGTATGTTTAAAATTAAGGCTTTAAGTTAGGAGCATTGAGTAGTGAAGGACAAGGTTCAAACAAACAAGGGATTCCGGGGGATGGATACCTAGCCTAGGCAATCATAGACAAAGGTTGCTGGAGGACCAAGTTAAGATGCTCTATCTGAATCAAATTCTCTGCAGCGATTGTTTTATTATTAACTATCAAAACCAACATTGTTTTCATATCATTTGCAAGAAAATGACTTACATCCACTGTTGAAAACTATAGCCTTTTTCTTCTTTTATGCGTAAATACAAACTTAACATAACCTCACCTAATCTCTAACTGGATTTCAGAAAGCTAACCCATCTTTATTTCAAGCAGATTTCGAATTGAGCATATCTAACATTTGCTTTTACTGAGCTAAATGCTCATAATCCGGGGTAGGTTTTCTCAAAAAGACAGTAAGTAAAGTTTCACACAAATTTAGATAACGGTTCCCCTTAAGCTAAAAAGGACTGATTAATCAAAAAGAAATGGCCGAAACATCTTGAAATTACTACAAACTAATCATAAAAATAAGGGCTCGAAAAAAATCTTTGAGGCTAAATCACTTTCCGGCCCTCTTCCTCTGAGAGAAAAGTTACCAACTTTGCACTAAATTGAACAAAAAATGCACACTATTCTCGCAGGAATCCCATGTTTCAACGGTATCTGTATACAAACAGAGAGACCAAAACAAAATTGCAACTTTTGGCATGAAATGAGCTGATCATTTATGTAGACTTTCACCCTTCAGAGCACAGAAACAAACAATCAGCAGATCCAAAACTCACAAACAACAAACCAAAAAACCCACATAAAAGAAATGTGGAACAAGCCAAGGGAGAAACAGAGAAAAAAAAAACCAACTTGGTCAACCACTCTGAGGTGGATCTTCTCGCTGGAGGAGCCTTCCAATTCTGAAACAGCCCTCTTCTTGAAACTACCGGGTTTCCTCACGGATGGGCCGGCAGCTGCCTGATCGGACGGTGATTGGTTCATCTTCTTCACCGGTTTCTGCAAAGCTTTCCGGTCACATTAAAACATAGTAGATAGGTGTCAGGAATGAGGAACGAGTGTGGTTTTTGGTTTTTGCCTGAAAAGTGAAAACTTACATGAGTTTGATGGCAAGAGACGCATGAAGCTTATATAGAACTTATGTTTTCAAAATCAGACCGGTCCGGACGGTCGAACCGGTTACCCCGAGAACCAGAAGTCTTACCCGTCTGATTTTTATAAAAAATCGGATTTTGTATAATCCATCAAACTTGGTCAAATCCAGGTAAAACTGCAATTTGATCAAAAATCGGTACCAGTTAAATCGGTTTCTACATATATTTTTTAAAAAAATTAATGTTTAAATATTTTTTAACATTATTTTAATCGATTTTTACTGGTTTCAAAAAACGAGCTAACCATTAACTCGGTAAATCCACCAACTCGGTCACGCCAACGTTTCACCTTCCGGTTCAATGTTTAAAACATTGTATGATATTTCCACATTTGACTGGGTTTGAATTGGTAAGAAAAGACAAAAGATATTTAAACTTACTGATTTTCCACACCAACTAACTCGGAGAGAATAAAAAAATTAAGTCCATTTTTAGGGAGGTAAAAATATCTCAGATATGTCCCATTTCTATTGCTCAACTACTTTTAATGATGAATAGAATTATCCCGTGCATTGCATGGATTGTGTTACATATATTGCGTAATTGTAAAATTATGAATTTATGATCACATGTGAGTCGAGCGTTATCGTCGTAATATAATAATTTTTGTACGTATTTTGTTGTGTAAATTACATTTTATCTTTTTTCATATTTCATATTCAAGATAGTTTACATTTATAAAGATAAAAATATTAGTATGACTCATTCTTAGTAAATATTTTAGAATTAATAATTGATAAAATTGATAATAACTTGGTAGTGTAAATATTTTTACAAATAAATTTAGTAAATTCAAAATGAAAATTTTAGCATACTCAAAAGGGAAAAAAAAAGAATTGTAAAAATGTTTTATACAACATCTTTTTTGTATATGTATATGTATATATATATATATATATATATATATATTTTGATAGGTATCTCTAAAAAATACTACATTTTGTAAATAGTTGATAGTTTTTCATACACTGAAATAAATTTTATTTTTTTAAAAAGAATTCCACCGCAGTGAACTCTGCTTAAAAATGTGTGAAAAATCATTCTTAGCAACCAATAAAAAAAGCTAAAGTTAATTAGTAATGGAACAAATTGATATTTCACTATTAATTAAGTAGATAATCAAAATATATGGAATATAATAAATATGGGTGAAATATATGGGTGAAAAGTAAATTGAAATAACTAATTTACAAAAAAATTTAACACTTTAATGAAAGAGGTTTCTGGCATTGACACGTATCAAAAAAGGAATTTGAACTTGACATGTGGCAAAGAAGGCTCTGAACTATTTAATTGAATGACACGTGTCAATTGAAAACTCTCCTTTAATATATAGTACTAGATGCTTGGCCTAGGCAGATGCCCGGGCGCCCCTCTACTTTAAATTTGTGTTAATAGATAAATAAATTCTTGATTTGGAAAAAATAAAATAGCTACACATTTGGTTTTTTTTTTTCCTTTTTTAAGTCAAAAATAAAAATAAAAATAAAAAATCATCTGCCAAAGCAAAAAAATATTAAAAAGTACAACGATGTAGAAATCATACAAAAGAATGTGGAGTAATAAAGGGGATAAGTTTATGGATAAATTTAAATGCTATTTTAATTTGATTGATAAATGATAAATGTTAGGAGTTAAAATTGTGTAGTTATTTTTGTAAAGTAGCTTTATTTCTCGGGATAAGATTTTTTTTTTCTTTTAAAAAGGGGATGACACGTGGCAGAATGGTCAATGCAATATGGTGCATTTGGAGCCAAAAAGTTTTAATAAGAAGTTGCTACATCAACATCATGTATTCTGATTTAATAGGGTAAAAAAGGGATAAATTCTTTATGTAATAATACTGCATATACGGTATTGGTAATGGAAAATAGTTTAAAAAATAAATAAGCATAGCTATACTTGGTGGAGTGTTCATTCATTAACTTTAGACAATATAGTTTATGAAGGAATTATGTAGTGTCATGACTTCATCCTCAATGCTGATCATCCATGGCTTCAATCTCAACTTCATCCTCCTCCAATCCAAGCTACAAAAACCACAGGAAACAACCAAAGAAGCGAAGCATTTTAGCGAAATCGAAGATTAACAAAACATTTGAAGCAGAGCAACTTTAAAGGTTGTTAAATGAGATGTAACTAAGGTAATGAGAACAAAAAGAGAATTTACCTCGATTGGAGTTTTAGCATGAAGGAAGCGCTGTCCTCCAAGGTAAAATTGGGTAGCTAGATAACTCAGATGAAACTTTTTGCAGTAACTTTGCAACAGTTTCTTCATCGGAGTGTCACGTTTAATCCTGAAGAAAGTTTCTTTCCCATCCTTTAACACAACAAACAGACAGAAGATCCATGAATTAGATCAGAACAGGGGAGTTGTAACAAGCTTTGGAACAACCAACACACACACACACACACACAGGCCAGTTTTCTTTATCATGAACCTTTCTTTTAGGTCTTACCATTTCTTAGCAAGCTTGAAACCAAATGTCAAACTCAACCGGAAATTGTTGAACCTTAGAACACACTTTTTAGCTTAGAGTTAAAATAACATGGATTTCAACTAACTAATAAGTAGAACTTTAATATTTGTACATTCAGGTCAAGGTAACAACTTTATCAAGAACAGGAAACTAATTGAAGGCGATAGATTTCATTCTTAGGCACACAGAGGAAAACAGAGCACCCCTTTATTGTTGTTCTTCAGGATGGGCAAAATCAAGATATGGGACAGAAAAGAAAAACACCAACATACAACTATTAAAATGAAGTATTTTTCTCGTCAAAAGTGAAGCCTTTTTATCAGTCCCATCATAAGTAGTCACATGTGAAGCCTAATGGAAAAATGGAGGAGATAATAATATGAGACAAAAGGATTGGCATTTAATAGTAGTGCTTGAGATTTGCTTTGTTTTTTTTGGAATGGAATGGAATGGAACAAGTATTTTGAAAATTAATGTAAAAAAGGACGTTACATTAGTCACAATCTATTAGTGAAGGATGTGTCATTTTTTCATTTTGAAAATTAAAAGAAATCATTCGAAGAGAAAATTACCACTCACAATCTCGTGTGAGAACTTACAAACCAAGTTAACAGGCTTTTGCAACATTTTTTTCGCTAAATTTTTGAATCAACACTTTTAACATTTTTTATACACTTTTTTTTTAACATTTTTTAGAGGGAAAAAATACACACATTCTTGTAAAATATTCCAAATGGTAAGATAAATCATTTTAGCACTCTAAAGAAGATAAAGAAAGATTCGAGAGTAAATCATTGAGGGAAACAGAGAATCTCTTTTGTATTGAACCAAAACATAGAATAGAGTTTACAACAAAAGAACAAGTCCATTACTTCAATCAACCAAAGGTCTTCTGTCAAACACACCATATTTAAGCAACTAGGGAGCAGAGAGAGGGTTCTGTTCCTTTTGATGTGAAAGGGCAAATAATACAAAGAAATGATGAGAATGAAAAAAAAAAAAAAAACCCCAAGGGACTTGTCATTCCAGAGTTCCAAAGTTAGACTTACATATTCTTTTGGTTACAATTCTGCACTTCATTATTATTATCTCTAAATTCTGAAATTGTACATTTTCATACGTTATGATAGGTCCGCGATTCAAAAGTGCACCATATTCCCAATTCAAAAGGTTTAGTAAAGCTTAAAGCCAAAGTGCAGATTTTGGAGTCCATTCAAGAGATATATGTTTTTTTTTATAAAAAAAAAGATATTTACTATTATAATCCTTACAGGTTCTTTGGTTATAATCTTGCACCTCATTATTATTATCTCCAAATTCTGAAATTGTACATTTTGATACGATTTGATAGGCCCGTGATTCAAAAGTGTACCATATTCCCAATTCAAAAGGTCTAGTAAAACTCAATGCCATAGTGATGATTTTGGAGTTCATTCAAGGTGTATATATATATTTTTAAAATAAAGATATTTACTACTATAATCCTTACGATTTCTTTTGGTTATAATCCTACACCTTATTATTATTATCTCCAAATTCTGAAATTATACATTTTGATAGATTTGATAGGCCCGCGATTCGAAAGCACACCATATTCCCAATTCAAAAGGTCTAGTAAAGCTCAAAGCCAGAGTGATGATTTTGGAGTCCATTCAAGGTTTCCATTTTGAAATATATGTCGTTTTAGGATTTGATGAATTTTTTTAAATATATATCGTTTTTACAAATTGAGGCATATTTGACCACTTTTTACCAATATTACCCTTGCATTGGAAATGAAACAATATTTATAATGAATTTCTATTGGTTTGTGATGAATTGTGTAGACAATAAATAAAGATATTTTTGTATTTTAACTACATTAATTAATATTTTCTTGATTTTGATGATTTTTCTAGAAAGACATATAAAAAAAATAGAGGGAGTATTTTTTTTTTTTAAAAAAAGATATTTACTACTATAATCCTTATAATTTCTTTTGGTTATAATCCTGCACCTTATTATTATTACCCCCGAATTCTGAAATTGTACATTTTGATACGATTTGATAGGCTCGCGATTCGAAAGTGCACCATATTCCCAATTCAAAAGGTCTAGTAAAGCTAAAAAAGCCATAGTGATGATTTTGGAGTCCATTCAAGGTATATATGTTTTTTTTTTAAAGGATATTTACTACTATAATCCTTGTATTTTCTTTTGGTTATAATCTTGCACCTCATTATTATTATCCCCAAACTCTGGAATTGTGCATTTTGATACAATTTGATAGGCCCGCGATTCAAAAGTGCACCATATATATATATTATATATATTTAAAAAAAGATATTTACTACTATAATCCTTGCAGTTTTTTTTGGTTATAATCCTGTACTTTATTATTATTATCCCTAAATTCTGAAATTGTATATTTTGATACGATTTGATAGGCTCGCGATTCAAAAGTGCACCATATTCCCAAT